TAAGCATCAACATGGTTTTGATCAAGTCGAAAAGACGTACTTCGCAGATAACTTTCCTTTCTTGTCTTCGACACGTGGTTCCTGGCTTCTGATTCCTGGCATTGCGATCAAATCTCGGGCATTGTTGATTGCATCTTTTAGTGAGATCTTGCCACGCTTTTGAGTCTTCGACTTCTCACTCATTTCCTCTTGAACATGACTGCTGTCGTCTTGAACATGACCGCTGTTGTCTTGACCACTTTCATCTAGGTCCTCAACAATGTTAGCCCCATGTAAGTGAGCCTCATTTGATGCTTGTGCACTCACCAGCGTTTCCTGTTGTCAGGAGCTTCTTATCAGGCGCTGTTCGCTTCACGACAGGGCGGGCACGAGGTTTCACTGGCTTTGGCTTGTTCACGACGGTGAGTTCCTCCGCCTTTTCCATTTCTTTCTGCATGGCTGCAAGCCGTTGCAGCCCCTCAAGCGCGGCCTGCTCTTGAACTTCGCGCGATTCCTTAAGAATCCGGTTGTCCTCTGCTATCTGGGCCTTAGTCCGTCGCTGATGTCCTTTTGCTGGCAGGTCAGGCAAGCCTGGATGCTTGTTTGCATTCTGTGGGCGAGTGCGTGACTTCTGAGCGGTGTCGGACATTGCTGACGAGTAGCGGATTTGACAGGCTCTATGGCAAGCTTGGGACGGCCAGGGAAATGTAATGAGTGGTCAGTAGAATGGTTGAAGTTGAAAATTGACAACCAATTTGTAAGTTCCGTACTTAAGAACTAACCAAACAAAGTTTGATCGCTAATTCAATTCGCTACTAGCAGGACTCTCTGGTCTGCGCACCTGTAAAGTTGTCCAAACCATCAAGTAAGTCCTGCATTATTCTGTCTTTTCGCGCCATACTTACTTCAAATGTCTACACTTCCAGCCGGTCACATCAACTAGACACATTCTTTGGCTGGCCTGAGCTCAGTCACTTGGAAATCAACTCAACAAAAATGCAGGTATCGATTTATTTCAGCCATGCACTCTTATTGACGCAATCTCAAGTGTCTTCACTTTCTGTGATGCCTGCTGATATTCCACGCATCCAACCACGCCGACGGGACCATAGCGCACTCCAACTCCCATGTGGAACATGTTCAAGATGGTTCAAAAGCTCTGCTGGGCGAACAAAACACCGAATTTCGGCACATCCTGTGATGCCAGTACCGCCTCAAGACAACCATCGAGAATCTCTGGAACCTGTTCCCCGAACACCAAGCCCACACCCATCTCACAATGAAGACAATGAGCGTGATGTCGATGTGGATGGTTACCAGGGCAATATGGACGAACATCTGCGCCAACAATCCCCCCATGCAGACGTCGACACAGAATTTTTTGGGCGTGGTGATCATCTTTATCGCAATTATCACACAGGTCTCAACGGTACGTCAATTTACTGCCTGATACTCTATCTTTAATGAGCGCTATTACAGGTAGACCATGTGATGTAAATGGTGTATTCCTCCCCCCTGGCGCTCCACCTCCATCTCCTGAGAATCTCGCAACCAATGACTGGACGCCTTTTCGAAACCGCACAGAATTTGAAACGGCCGAGTTCCTTTACAAGCACAATCAAATGCCAGCTGGTCAAATTGACCGGCTACTAGATCTATGGGCATCTACCCTCGCAAAGCACAATGACAACCCGCCGTTTGCAGATCACCGTGATCTGTACCACGTCATTGACAGTTCGCCCTTTGGGGATGTACCATGGCAACGCTTTACGGTCGCCTATGATGGCGAGAGACTTGCAGACGAGCACAAGCCCTGGATGGATGGCGAATACGAAGTCTGGTTCCGCGACCCACGTGAAGTTGCGCGTAATATGCTCGCAAATTCGACTTATGCTAACGAGATGGATTACTGCCCGTATAGGGAGTATTCAACTGAGGGCGACAAGCGCCAATGGAAGGATTTCATGTCTGGTGACTGGGTGTGGGATCAAGCAGTAAGTAATGCATTTTTTGTTTCGTAATGTCTGATATTAACGGCTCTATGTATCTAGGACGAAATCGCGAAAGACCCGAGCACTCTCGGGTCGACATTTGTCCCTGTCATCCTTGGCAGCGACAAAACGACAGTTTCAGTCGGAACGGGTAACAACGAGTACTACCCGCTCTATGCTTCCATTGGGAACATCCACAATAATGTTCGAAGAGCGCATCGCGATGGTGTGGCCGTCATTGGGTTCCTGGCAATGCCGAAAAGTATGTTTCAATCCTGCAATCTATTTCTATAACTGACTAACTATGATACAGCTACGCAGGAACATGCTGAAGAACCTTCGTTCCGAAGATTTCGTCGACAGTTATTCCATTCGTCCCTTTCCAAAATTCTCGATCCGCTCAAGCCGGGCATGACGACTCCCGAAGTAACGCGTTTCGGAGATGGCCACTACCGGCATGTCATATATGGACTAGGGCCTTACATAGCGGATTATGAGGAGCAAGTTTTATTAGCGTGCATTGTCCATAATTGGTGTCCAAAGTATGTCTTTCATTTAATATGTATTTACATGGTCGCTCACATTATTCTAAAGGTGTGTTGCAAATCGTGAAGATCTCGACGAAGATGCGCTGCCCCGTAGCCGCGAATATACAGAGGCACTCGTCGAAGAAGCTCCCTCGGGAGATCTTTGGGAAGACTTCGGAATAGTCGCGCAACTTGTGGTAAGTCATTCAGCGTTTTTCTCTTGTTTTCATTTACAAAACTAATACTATTTCGACAGCCATTCACAAACGACTTTCCCCGAGCCGATATCCATCAAATGATATCACCAGATATCCTCCATCAACTTATAAAAGGCGCCTTCAAGGATCACCTCGTGACGTGGGTCGAGAAGTACCTCCGTCAGACACACAACAAACGGAAGGCACAGAAAATTATGGATGATATTGACCGCAGGTGAGCTCGGTTTGTATTTGGATTGCTTACTTTTTTATCATTGCCATAGAATTGCTGCTGTCGCCTCGTTTTCAGGCTTGCGACGATTTCCTCAAGGGCGCGGATTCAAGCAGTGGACAGGAGATGACTCCAAGGCCTTGATGAAAGTGAGTCGTCATTTTTGTGTATTGTTACTACCTAATATTGAATCCTTTAGGTCTATTTACCTGCTATCGAGGGCCATGTACCTCAAGACGTCGTTCGCACCTTTCGTGCGCTTCTAGATTTTTGTTATCTAGTACGTCGCAATATCATCACCGAAGACTCTCTACTTCAAATCGAAGATGCGCTCTCTCGTTTTCACCGTTACCGCGAAATCTTCAGGACAACGGGTGTCGTCCTTCACTTCTCCTTACCTCGTCAACACTCGCTCATGCACTATGTTCGAAACATTCGACTCTTTGCTGCACCCAATGGTCTCTGCTCGTCAATCACCGAGAACAAGCACATCAAAGCGGTCAAGGAGCCCTGGCGACGATCGAGCCGTTTCAATGCGCTTGGTCAGATATTACTGACCAATCAACGGCTCGACAAACTTTCAGCACTGCGAGTCGACTTCACGCGTCGGGGGATGCTCACTGGCACTTGTCTCTCAGCAGTCAATGCCTTAGGTAAGTCGCGCATTTCTTACGAGATATATTTCAACTAATTTGCATAACAGTTCCTGCGCAGATCGACCAAGTTGATGAAGACGGCGGGGCGGCAGCACTCGCACCTGCTCAAGCAGCAGCAGCAGCAGCAGATATGCATGTGCCTGCTCCTGCTGCACCACCTCCACCTCCCTTGATCAATATTGATGTGGACCTCGACATAGACGACGGGCCCACCGTTCTACAAGCGTTCGTAACGCTGGCAAAAACCCGCCGTAGGTGTCCTTTTTTCCTGATTTTCAACGTAATACTGAACATACTGTACAGAGGGCAAAAATCGCGCTCAAACCATTCCTGAACTCGCCGAGGAACTTGATATTCCTCACCTATCTGACCTTCTCAGACGCTTCTTATTTCAACAGATGCATCCTGATGACCCCCGCGATCCGTCCAATGTACCTCTTTCTGAATGCCCCCTCTATCTCAGCAAAATTGCAGTCTTCAACTCGGCATCATCGCGGTTTTATGCGCCGAGCGATTTGAGTGGTATTGGTGGCATGCGCACTGAACACATCCGCTCTTGTCCCTCCTGGCGAGGTGGGCATTCACGCAACGACTGTGTCTTTGTCAACACAGACTCTAGTCTACCTGGCATGCAAGGTCTCGAAGTCGCGCGCGTTTGCGCATTTTTTTCATTCCAGTACCGGGGCGAAGTTTATCCCTGCGTTGTGGTTCGCTGGTTCGACAAAATCGGCGATGCTGCAGACGAAGACACGGGAATGTGGATGGTTCGTCCAGGAGAGGGTGCAAACAATACTGCTGGGTACGCAATCATTCATATTGACGCCATTTATCGCGCTGCCCATCTTATTCCCGTGTACGGCACGGAATTCCTGCCTCCAGAGCTCAAATTTTATCATTCCTATGATGCATTCCGCGCCTACTACGTCAATAAATACGCTGACCATCACGCCTTTGAGATTGCATTTTGATCTAGCTACTTGTACACTATTTGAATCTATAATACTCTTTTCTCTCTTAATATGCATTTTCTCTCCTTTGTGTGGCAAAACCAATGGACCGCTCCTTTGCGCCTTTGAGAAATTTCGGAAAGATCGAGTTATCACTCCTTGTATTAATTTTTATGCCTTAGCGCCAGCGCCAAGGCAAGAAAAGTGGGATAATGAAGGAAAATAAATCCGAGGTTTTACTGATGGGGTGAGTGAGATCCTTGATTAGCCTGCTAGTCCAATATAATAACCACCACAGCTGTGAGTTTGTATCGAGCGCATAATCCTCTGAGGCTAATCACTGACTGGATTCGTCAGGTCTTATCGTGTCCATCGTACAAAATTGGATAAACGTCGTCGCAAATGTAATCATAGGCGGTGAGCTACTATGCAGCTCCAATGTCTTGGTTATGTCAACTTGACTAAAACATCATGCAAGTCATCATGGTTGTTCGGCTACGTGCTGTATATCAGGGATCCAGAAAGGTTATGATATTTCTCATTGTTACCTTCCTGGCTGTCAACATCTTCTACTGCGTTTTCGCCGTAATAGCAACGAGGTATTTGTCAGGGGGTGAGCTCATTTATGTATGAAATACCGCTGCACCAGGCTCATTGACGATTGCAAGAGGAGCTCATTCTTTCTTGCACCTATCGGTGCAATGTCGTCTTTGAGGGGGGAGAGAGTACACTTCTGTATACCGTGACTTGGATACTCACTACCGCATGGGAGGTTGTCGCAGTGTGTCTTACAGCCTGGATTGCTGTAAAACACTTTCGTGAACTGCGACAGCATTCGGCAAATGATCTCGTCGAGGACGGTTTAGCGGTATTAATGAAATCCCATGTGGCTTACTTTGCAAGGTGAGCTGATAATGCAAATGTGTTCTCTTTTTCTTCGATTGAAATTTCACACGTACTAGTTTTGTTGCTGCTTCTTGCCTTGAGCTTGGTTATTTGTCTCCTGCGTTCTCAACGCCGGTATGCCTCTGACCTCTATATATGGATCGCTGTTCATCGTTTTTATAGGACCCAAGTTCCCTAGGACCTCCGATTTATGCTGGCGTTGCCAGTCTTTTTTCGCTCATGCAATTATTTGTGCTGGGACCACGCCTGATCCTTTGCATTCGAGAACATTACGCTCGAGTCGAGGCTGACTCCTATGCAGCAACAGGCATGAGTTCAATTGCTTTCCAGGAGCGTGTGCATGTGCAAACTAGTAATAGTGTGTAGCACGAGATGTGCTCAATTTGATCAAAAGATGTGAAGAACTCTGCGAGCAGGAGAATTCGTTTTTATTTTCTCGTCGTGGTACTTATTTTAATTGAGATATTTCCAACTACTTACTAGGGCATTATATTGTTGAGACGGGCAACTTGGCAGCATGTTGTAAGAGATGGAGCAAGATGGAGAAACATTTCAAAAATAAAATATAGTAATCGATTTCCAGCAAGCGGAGCGGTGGGCTTGAAGTTTGCGCCCTGGCAACCGAGACGCACGCGGGTGGACGACGCTCCAAGGTCATCATAAGATTATATATTGTGGAATTGTGGATGGATAATACTAATGGCAATACAAATGAATTGGTTAGTTGGATACATAGAATATAAAGTGATCAATGAGAACGAGAAACCAATTAGAGTTGTCAGATGAGTTAAACATAATGCCAAGGATAAAGAACGAGGGATTCATGTCGTGAAGCTAGCGTAGAATGGCCATAAGAGGGCTGTGTGATGAGTTGAACAAAGTGAACAGTAATATAGAATGAAGGAGAGGCAGTGAAGCTGAGGTAGACCGGCTACAACAGGTCAATTTTCAACGCCGAAAAAAGACTGCAGCTCATTGCATCTTGGCCCTGGTAGACGTGACCCGGGGCATCGCTGACCCCTGCCCAAACTGGACCTCGTTCAGGGAGCGGTGCTGAGGAATGGGGGGCGAGTATGTCTCGTCAGGAATTGGTGACAAGAAAGTAAGGACGGCTTCACCGCGGGAGGATCTACAGTCGGGATCGAAAGTGAGATAAATACCTCCATCATTCATGTCAATTCCTAGTGCCTGCGAAGCCTCATCGAGCTCATCACCCGGAGCATCGATTGAATGAGTGGGCGCGGAGGTAAAAGCGAGCTGATTAACAGGACCATAAGCGGGCCGCGTGAGCGTGGTAAAAGCAGTGGCCTCGTAAGGAGCAAATTTCTGGGAGCGGAAAGGCATTGATGTTTTCGGCCTTTTCTCTTCTACTGGCCGTTTCCTGTGCATAACGTGGATCAATCAATGACTTGAATATTCGGTCGAGGTTGTGCATACCCGGTGAATAATCCCCGTTGTTTCTGGGGTATATTGTTGTCATTTTCACATGAAGTCCTTAGTGTAGCCTTCTCCGCTTCAGACATTGGCGGTGGAAAAGAACGCAGACAATCATCAGGCGTTGACTTGCGCTGAAAGCGAACTTGCCGCTGGAAGAGAAGAGTGAGTCAACATTGTCCATCTAATAGTATATATGCCACACACAGCTGAGGTGGCATCATGCCAGGAACTAATAAGTGCAAGCTCTGCAGATGATGGAAAATGTTCGAGCACGAGCGTTGGGTAGGGGGGTTCCATATTGACCTGGCCACCAGTGGACGAAGGTGCCAAGGGCATTGACCTTGCGCCAGTGGGTGTGCTCAAGTATCTGGGCAACAAAGGAAGCTCTTTGTCTACGTTGAGATACATGTTAAAGATACAGATCAGGATGGTGAAGATATAGATTATCGAAAGCAACCCCAGTGAGATAGTATAAATACCAGAACAATTTCAAAGCGTTTGAAGCGATGTGGACTGGAAAGTGCCATTTGTGGTGTTGTGGAAGGAATACGGAGACAAAGAGGAACATTGTGGACGGAGCATGTGCACACAGTGCCATGGACGCCAGGCTCACCTTGACCAAGGTTTGAGCCTGCCAGTAGCAAGTTGGACTGGAGAGCGTGCCATGGCTGTCCTTTTCATGTTATGGAAGCATCAAATTTCGGGGAGAAAAATCTATAAGCTTCAACCAACACCCATTTTTGCAACTCACCTTTGTATAGTTGAGTCGCGCGCGCTCGCAGTCAATGAGCGCAGTCACTGTGACGTGCAGGAAGAGCAACTGCAACTGCTGTCAGACATACCCGCGGGGCAGGAAGCAATATAGTAACTCCTGGACCGCTTCGAGGTCTCAATTTGAAGACGACTAAAATTCATAGCTATTAACTTTTAGTATGGATGGATTCATCCATTGATATCGTCAGAAGTTGACTGGACAAGCCGACAGTAGCTTCAAGAAGTTCAACCTCAGTGTTTGGTCTTGTATTGCTCATGTACTATACAGGTGACAGAACGTACGTTCTTTCTTCATCTCTTTACTAGGCTGATCATATCTCAGATGCCATCACATCTCCTTGAACAGCAACAATTCGCATACAATATACAAATGACAGAATGATAATCGAAATACATGATCATGAATGACGTTCGTGCTATGTTTTCCCTGCAAATGCATGATACTTCATGTGGTTTTTCAAGCCTCGTTGATGTCGACATCAGGTCCGGATATGATGGCCTTGATGACCCCCTTGCCATCGGGGCTCTTGCCATTGCGAGTAGTTTCAAATGCCTCACGCGCCTGCGTGAACGGGAAGCTATGAGAGCACTTAGCACGACAAACATTGGATAGTTGTTCCGACAGCTAGCATACCGGTGCGACACAAGGGGCTTGACGTCGACCTTGCCCGACGTAGCGAGGGCGATGGCGAGAGGGTAGTCACCGGGCTTCATTCAACAAGGGTCAAGCAATGCTTCCGAGAGTGAAAAAAGAGCTTACACCATATCGGAAAGAACCCTTGATGACGAGCTCCTTGCAAATGACAACAAACATGTCAATGTTGACATTGGGGTTACCCATGCCAACCTACTCATAATCAATCAGATAGACCCTTCAGTGCTGTCAATTTCAACCCACCTGAACGTAGGTGCCACCACTCTTGACAATCCGGATCCCAGTCTGAATAGAAACCTCCGCACCAGAAGCATCCAAAACCAGGTCAATTGCCTGAGGTCCCCGATCAGCGATTCCGAGCTTCTCCTTCATCGCCTGGGCATTGCGCATCGAGAATTCGACTCTCGATTCGTCCTTCTCCATAGGAGGAGGTAGGAAAATGTCAGTTGCAGCATATGCTTTGGCAAATTCGAGACGGCTAGGAACGATATCAACAGCGATAACACGGGAAGCGCCAAGAGCTTTTGCGACGGCCATGCATAGAAGTCCAACAGGTCCACAGCCAAAGACGGCGACGGACTGGTTCGACCGCAAAGCACCGAGGTTCGAGACAGCATGGACTGCCACGGAAAGAGGTTCCATCTAGAACAGAGTCAAATTTCAGTGAAATGTGATGTGGCCAACCGCTTACCATTGCTCCATCCTCGAGACTGAGGTTTGGTGGAAGCGGGTAAGCGAGATCAGATGGTAGGCGGTAGTAACGAGCGAGGGTGCCATCCGTAGGAGGGGTAGCGGCAAAGATAACATCGGGGCAAAGCTGCTCGGGGCCGTCAGGAAACAAAATTGGAGCGAAAATCATCCTTACCTGATAGCGACCCTCCTTGCAAGCTTCGCACTTGCGACATGTTGCGCCAGGCTCCATAGCGACTCTGTCACCCACTTTGACATTGGTCACTCTGGAACCAACTATAGTTGAAGGTCAAGATAAAAATATCTGAATAGGAGGCAAGTTATGGACATACCTTTTGAGACCACGCCTGCTGCCTCGTGACCCAGCACCTAATAGCTAACGATGAGGCTCAGCCGTGCATCCTATCGAACTAACCCACCATGGGCTTCTCTACAACAAAATCTCCGATCCTTCCGTGGACAAGGAAGTGTACCTGGAGAAGATAACTTGGTATCCTGGTTCAGAACAATAGATAGGGGCGTACATCTGAGCCGCAGATTCCTTGTTGTCATGCCGAATGAGCCTTGGGAGAAAATAAAGGACAAAGAGGCGCACCTGTCTTCTTCACTTGCACAAGGACTTCATTGGGGTCAACTTCACAAGGTATGGCGATTTAGCGAACGTGGAGGAACCATCCAAAGATAGACTCACTCTCTGGAATTGGCTTTTGCTGGATCTCAACATCCAGAACGCCTTTAAGTACGAATGATGGATTATCGGACATGATGAGAAAAACAAAGTGAGGACAGTGGGAAGATGATTCACTTAAGAACGAGCCACTGTGGGGATCCGGACTCCCGCAGACTTTTGGGCCGTACTAGACCCGTGACGACTAGACCAACCAAACCTCACTCGTGACCACTGCTACCCGTGGAGCGCGACGCGATTTGGACCAATCAGGTATGTCGTCAGAGGAATACCTTTTCGGGTAATTTATGGCTAACATGGAGTTGCAAGTGAGACCAACCGAAAGTATAAAATCATGTACGATCCCTTCCTTATCCCTTGACACTAACCTCAACGTCGACCCATCAACCAAGAAGTACTGACGCTCAGCAAGTTCAACAATCGACTTCAAATTCACATCTCGTTTGGAACAACTTCGTTACTGATCAGCATCATGAATTATAGCGAAGCCCTCCCAAACTTCTCAGGTCAGATCGTCGGCAACGGTCGCTTCGAGCTCGTCGACATGATTGGTTCCGGTTCCTACGGAAACGTCTATCGCGCTCTCGATGCTCAATCAGACCCATGCGAACCTGTCTACTATGCAATCAAGTGCTTGCCAAAAACGGAACTCTCCCCTGAGCGCCTCGTATGCCAGAGACGTGAGATCTTATTGCACTCCTTAGTATCCAGCTCGTCGCCACATATCTGCACCCTTCACGAGATCATCGAGGAAGAACTTTACATCTACTTCGTGCTCGACTACTGCCCAGGTGGGGACCTCTACACCGCCATCATCGAGAACCGTATCTACCAGAACAATGTCCCGCTCATCAAGAGGGCATTCATCGAGCTTCTCGATGGCGTACATGCCTGTCATCAGTTGGGTGTGTACCACCGTGACCTGAAACCAGAGAACATTCTCTGTCGCCAGAGCGGGTTGGATATTCGTGTCGCAGATTTCGGGCTAGCGACCAAAAGTCGTATTAGTCAGGAGTTTGGCGTAGGCAGTTCATATTATATGAGTCCTGGTATGTTCCGGTTTCAAATTGCATAGTGGACTATCTAATAAACTACATCCCAGAATGTATTAGTCGTGAGATGAAGTACCCTCATTACTCACCGCTTCACACGGATATCTGGTCATTGGGAGTTATTCTTGTGAACATGGTCTCAGGTCGCAATCCTTGGCGATTTGCGACACCCTCGGACAAGGGCTTCCTCGGATATCTTTACAACGTGGACTTCCTTCGCGAGATCCTTCCCATCTCGAAATCTTTCAACGACATACTCAAGCGCATCTTTCGCCTACAACCGTTCTCGCGAATCAGCCTTCCAGAGCTCAGAGAAGAGATCCTCAACCTTGATACCTTCTACATGAGCGATGCCGAGCTCCGCGACGCGTCGGACAACGCGCAAGAAGCTGCTCGCGACGACTACCACAGGCGCGCCGCACCGTTGACTGATTTGGTGTTCAATCAAGTCGTAGCCGACACAACCCTCGTCAACTGCTCATCGACGAAATCCAACTTCCACTCCGACGGCGGTCCTCCTTATCCAAAGTGGGCTTATCGCGGCTCCGCGCCTGCATCTCGGCGACCTAGCGACCTACCGCCCGCGAGCGTCAACAGGACGCCCTCACAACTCCATATTCGAGCCTTCGAGCCACAAGACTATCGACTTTACGAATCACGGGATAGCCTATCGAGCTGTTCTACGCGTTCTGTTTCTTCAGGGGTAGAGAGTGAGGGACCCATTACTCCGGAAACGCATGCCCATGAGCCTGCCATTGACGTGGCAGACTTATCTGAGGGGCAGACACTTGATGAACCGATACTTGCTCGCATGCCTGTCAAGATGGGGCCAAAGCGACCCCGTCGGTTCTCGTTTCGCAATGTAGTTTCACGGTTTAAGATCTTCTGATTGGTACCTGTGCGTCGATACTACAGTAGTCATACCCCTAGCGTACTAAGTTAGTCTAGTGACTTGTAATAAAGCCGTCGGATCCGATAAGCTAGGCAATCTAGTGAGTGAGCGTTCAAGATAAGCTAAGTAATCTAAGCGAGTGAGATATGGTAGGTAATCTATTGAGTGAGCGTTCAGCGTTGATAGAATGAGAGAGTGTGCGAAATAGTAGACGACGAAGAAGTTTTATGCGATGAACTCTCATGTTCATGGGAGAGCGCTCTCGCCTCATAGTGGTCACGAGTCAGAGGGGAATGCTGGCAGATACTAATAGTAATAGGATGGCGTGGCAATTGATTGCATCTTCAATTGCTCAGGGCAGGCGCGAACTCAGATAAGTTATAATTCAACTCGATCGATCATAGCCTCTCCATCCCTTTCTTCCTACCTCCATATCTCATTCAGAATGGTCTTGTCAAGCGTTCTTGGTTTCCCCCGCATCGGTACATGGATTTCTTGATTATAAGCCAGACATATCTCATCCCCATTGACCAGGTGCAAACCGTGAGGTGAAAAAGGCCGTTGAAGCTTACTGGGCTGGCAAACTCTCCGCAGAGGATTTGATCAAGGCTGCTGCTGATGTCAAAAAGTCCAGCTGGACTAGCCTCAAAGAACGAGGTGTTGATTTGATCCCCAGGTCAGTACTCTCTTCGAGCTCAAAGATATTTATTAATCTGATCAATCTATTCATAGCGGAGAATTCTCACTCTATGACCACGTTCTTGACCACTCTGCGGCATTCAACGCAATCCCTAAGCGTTACCAGGGTCTTGGGCTCTCCGCCCTCGATGTTTTCTTCGCTATGGGCCGTGGTCGTCAGGCTGACGGCGTTGATGTCCCCGCCTGTGAAATGAAGAAGTGGCACGTGTCTTAGTTTCACTATCCCTAAATGGTGTTCTTGTTCTAATTTGATGTTTCAGGTTCGACTCCAACTACCACTTTGTTGTCCCAGAGTTGTCCGAGGAGACCGACTTCAAGCTCCTCTACAACAAGGTTCTTGCCGAGTACAAGGAGGCCAAGGAGATCGGCGTTGTCACTCGCCCGGTCGTTCTCGGCCCCATCTCCTACCTCGTTCTTGGCAAGGCCGCCAAGGAAGCATCTCCTAACTTCCAGCCTATCTCGTTGCTCCCCAAGATCCTGCCTGTTTACAAGCAACTTTTGTCTGAGCTCAAGGCTGCTGGTGCAGAATCTGTCCAGATCGATGAGCCCATCCTTGTTCTCGACAAGGGTGCTGAACTAGACAAGCAGTATGCGTATGCTTACGCCGAGCTTGCCCCTGTCTCTCCCAAGATCATACTCACCACTTACTTCAACCGCTTGGACTCCAACATCAACTTCATCGCCAAGCTCCCCGTTGCTGGCCTTCACATTGATCTCGTCCGTGCACCCCAGCAGCTCGGCGAGGTTCTTGCTGCCATCAAGTCCACTCCCATCGTCATCTCTCTTGGTGTTGTTTCTGGACGTAACATCTGGAAAGCAGACTTTGCAGTTGCCATCAAGTTTGCGCAGACTGCCATCGCTGCTCTCGGCGCTGACCGTGTTGTCGTTGCCACATCTTCCTCTCTCTTGCACACCCCTGTCACTCTTGCTTCCGAGAAGAAGCTCACCCAGCAACAAAGGGACTGGTTCTCATTCGCCCTTGAGAAGGCGGCCGAGGTTGCCACCATCGCAGCTGTTCTCTCTGGCTCTCAAGACCCCAAGGTCTCTGCTGCCCTTGAGGCTAACAAGGTCTCCATTGCCAAGCGTCGCGAGTTTGAGTCCACCTCAGACGATGCTGTTCGCAAGCGTGTTGCTGCCATTACCCCTGACATGTACGACCGCAAGAGTCCCTTCGCCGTTCGCAAGGAAGTCCAGGCCAAGCACCTCAACCTGCCCAGATTCCCCACCACTACCATCGGCTCCTTCCCTCAGACCAAAGAGATTCGTACTGCCCGTGCCAAGCTCGGCAAGGGTGAGATCTCTGAGGCTGAATACGATGAGTTCATCAAGAAGGAGATTGAGCTGGTCGTCAAGTTCCAGGAGAAAGTCGGCCTTGACCTCCTCGTCCACGGCGAGCCTGAACGTAACGACATGGTTCAATACTTCGGCGAGCAACTGACCGGCTTCGTCTTCACTCAAAACGCCTGGGTGCAAAGCTACGGATCTCGGTCAGTATTGCATTACGAGGAAAGTTGAATGATCGAGCCTCATTGTTTTGCCAACAGTTATGTCCGTCCCCCCATCATCGTGTCCGACGTTAGCCGTCCTACGCCGATGACCGTCAAGTGGAGCAGTTACGCACAGAGCGTCTCCAGCAAGCCCATGAAGGGTATGCTTTCTGGCCCTGTCACCATCTTGAACTGGTCCTTCCCTCGTGACGATGTTCCACGTAAGCTGCAGTCGCAGCAACTTGCTCTTGCGCTCCGTGATGAGGTCCTTGATCTCGAAAAGGCTGGCATTAGTGCCATCCAGGTCGACGAGCCTGCCATTCGTGAGGGTGTAAGTGTTTTCATGTGATCAGATAAATTCGCTGCTAATCAAGCCTCAGCTTCCTCTTCGTCGTTCTGACTGGGATGAGTACTTGCAATGGGCTGTGGACACCTTCAAGCTCTCCACCGCTGGTGTGACCGACGCCACTCAAACCCACTCTCACTTCTGCTACTCCGACTTTGGTGACATCTTCCCCTCCATCCAGCGTCTCGATGCCGATGTCATCTCCATCGAGTTCTCGAAGAGTGACATGAAGCTCCTCCACACCTTCAAGCAATACGGCTACTCCAACCAGATTGGTCCTGGTGTCTACGACATCCACTCGCCTCGTATCCCCAGTGAGGCAGAGATCATTGAGCGTCTCAAGACCACCCTGGCCATCATTCCCGACCACCTCATGTTCATCAACCCTGTAAGTGGAATATCAAGTGTTCGCTCTAAAGCCACCGCTCATATCTTTTTACAGGATTGTGGTCTGAAGACTCGTGGCTGGAAGGAAACCGAAGCTTCATTGGCCAACTTGGTTGCTGCCGCACGCTGGGCCAGAGCTAACGCCTAATTTTCTACACATTGCGCTTCAACAGCGCCCACAAAGTGGTTAAATTATCATGGCCCTTTTATCGGGGAACTGGCCTACACTTGACCTCGGGTAGTTGTCGCAAGAAAAAGAAAACAATGTCCGGCGATGGTTGTCGTCAACAGGGACAGGGCAACAGATAGTTGCTGCTTTGTGGGCCCGCAAAGTGCCTCGGCAATGAGGCAGGAGCTTAGCGCGTCTATGTTCGTAGTAGTCGGATTTCAACAATCCTTAATGTACCGTATCGCGTTCCATGGAATGAATGATATTAGCATGCAATATCTATTGGTCTCATAGATCTAATATATGCTTGAATATGAGAGTGAAGGTATAATAATAGTAGGCTCATGTGTTGTCAATCGTCTATTTCATCATAGGTATCGTCATTTCTTCTACAAAGGCAGGCGACGCTGCTGGAAGAGCAATGATCACACTGCTATCATCATGCTTTTCCGACGCGTTTAAGTCAGCTGTACCAGCGGTACTGGTCTGCCCAGGGAGACCATTAGGAGAATTTGTCGAAAGATTTATGGTTGGCGCGTGCAAAAGACCATCGTAGTTGTCTTTCGCAAGTGCTGTTCGTAGAGTATTTTCAATTTTCTCCGTGCGTCTGGTCCGTTGGCCACCTCGCCAAATCAATATTGCCGAAATTATCCCGCACAAAAACGACGCCGGAATGAGACTACCTGTGGTCCATGCCGGTCGTTCAAATCTGGCGCGGAAAGAAATTTAGTTCGATACAAATTTAGCCTCAGAACAGAGCTTACCGGTTCATAGACCACATGCAACTCGACAGCATGACCTGAACACTAGTGAATAAGCGTACTTTCGCCTTTCATGACATTTACCTGAAAAGCAGAATTTCCATCGATAAAGAGACATATCCAGAGTGCCGTACTGTGATACACATTGCAGATCTGAGCAGAGATATAACCTAAGCCAGAAAGACGCACTTGATTGGAAATGCCTTCCAAATGGTGTTAACAATGCACTGTCATGCAATGGAATGAGAGAACTTACTCGGTGGGTCACAGTACCATGTGGGCGGTACCATGTCTGACTCTCGTGAAACTTGACTTGCTCTGCGTCAAAGTGAGCCACGCTTATCGTGAGCCACCACAAATTTGGGTACGTACGATGATGCAAATCCTGTTGTTCCCGTTCAGTGAGAACATGGAGAAAGGTAGGGTCATAGACAGGATCGGGCAAGTCATCGACGTCGAATAGCTGAGGGAAACCAGCTTTATCTCGTAGCTTCGTTGTTTTGTGCTTGTAGTGCCAAATTTTGTAGATTCCTGCTTCGAAAGTCAGTTATTGCGATGAGACTAAAGACCACAGGGCCTACTATAGGTGTCAAGAGCACGCGTAGGGATCAGGCCAATCCCGGTGATGGTGAACAAACCTGATGAAAAATGGTTATGGAAGTTTTTTGGGAAATATGCAACAACGGACCACACACGACCTGAGAGCACACCTCGACCCAAAAACCCTGGGTATTTGCGTTGTGTAAATTGATCCACTTTAGCAAAAATAACACCAGCGCAGCTCCCCAGAACACTGCAAAAGGTCAGCACCCAAGAATAGAGCACGACAGATTTCCGTACCAACAAGAAACCCGTATATGCCCGTTATGATCTACAATCAGTAAGCAACCACAAATAAATCATACTACTATACAGCAAACGTACGCCTATCGCTGCGAAGAGCGTGAGAAAACATCGAAAAACAAATGACTGAAGATACACTGACGAGTTTTCAAAAACGACCAAACACCCTGGAGTGTACGTTTGACCTTGGATCGACCGGTCAGAACGTCCTCGACATGTCTGTCTAATGATTCATGCATGTCATCAAATTGAGCATGCCCAGCGGATTCCATGACCAAGCCTTGTCGTCCACTCGGATAAAATAACGCAATTACTGGTTTTCGAGAGTAGAAGCTCGATGGAGGGCTGATACAATCGTTAAACTGGAGTGATCCATTTGAACATGAAGAACACTCGCATTAAAATAGAATTAGCGGCATTGGCCAGGCTGGATACAGTAGCGACCTGAGGATCTGGAGGTATAAGAACAGTGTAACCTAATACTGAAAGAAAATCAGTGATACCAATTGCATCCTAAATGATCCACAATATCATCATGATGGACAACACTTTCGTCGAGCTGCTGGATCTGCTGCAGTTCGAGTGTGCTTTCAATGATACCAGGTGTCCTGACGTCGGCTTGGCTGTGGGTCGAAATGTCGGTCTGAGAAACCTGGAGCCTATCCCTGATGGTCCCATGGCCGTCTACAGGAGGAGAACCGTGACGTGACAGCGACGGAGGTGACACGGATGGCCTGCGAGAAGCTAGGACGTGCTCAACGACCTTAGACCCGGATTTTTGACGGTTAATGGGAGGGCGGGAGACAGACTCGAACGCCCCACTTGTCGTGTGGCTCCTCAAACGTTGCTTGTTCTCCGGAGCAGAATCAATTTGCGCGTTATGAGCATTAGTAAGTCTGGGAATAAGGCTGCCCATGCTACGCTGTCCGCGTACAGTGATGGACCGCGATGGTAATGACGCCTCGATATCATCGTCGAATCTGGCGGGGAGGAGAGGGTATGTAGATGGAGTCTTCTTTATCCTGACTGAAGGCATGGAAAGTTTGTACGTCTCTTTCTTGAAGAGACTAGAAGCAAGCTCCTGGTCTGCAGATCTAGGTCTGGAGTAGCACCGGAGCAGAAAATGTATTAATAGCAACATGTTCGTGAACCTTTACGTCACGGGCCCATGGGGCCTGGCCCTGACACGTACATGCATTGCAACGAAGATAATAGTAGATGTAACGAGTAGGTGAAATAAATTAAGAGAAAGCAGTAAGATATATCCTTCTGAGCACTCATCAAGGACCTTCCTTGGACACTGGAGAAGTCAGTATCACGATGATCCACAGACTGACATTCCGACTACATAAAAAAGTCAATAGCCTGTAACAAGTCAAGTGGAATCACTTGCGTCGGGGTTATTGTCTAGGCTCTTTCTGCTGCGACTGAAAACACTGAGTAGCCGAGCGCGGCTTGAATGGACGATTCATATCTGGTACAGGAGGGGCGGGAGTCGATTCATCCATGTCGGTAGGCTCGTCCTGTGAGAGACATTCCAATAAATCTACTAGGGTTGGTACCACATGAGGATGACGTTCTCGGTCTTGCTGGTGCAGCAGTCGAGTTGGTGTCTGTTCGCTTTGGTTTTAGCTTCAGTATCTTCCGGGGAGCTCGAGGATCTAGCTGCGAGACACTTTTGGAGGCCGTTAGCTTCGTCTTTGAGAATAACTCTCGAGCCACAGGGAAGACTGGAACCAATGGTTGATGCAAAGCTATCTTGACCCAGCCTTTCCACGTGAGATCCGATGGGATGAACTGATCAACCAGCTCTTCGAACTGCAGCGTCGAACTTAGTCGACAATATTGAGAGTATAGATCATGAAATGTACACTCCAGGTCTGGTTTCTAATCTCCAACGCGTGCGTCCGAATGCGTGCATCACGGCATTCAAAAGATGAAGCCTTCATGATGCTTAACAGCAACTCTAAACTGAGAAATCTGTGAGAATCCTTGTGCGCCATCGTTCATTTCTTGTGAACTAACCTGGAGATCTTAACAAGCACGAAGTTTTTTTGTGAGGAGCGCGTTTTCATCTCATCGAAATCAGTCTTGTGCTCAGGACGATACCTGTCGTATTATCATGTTCCTATGTCGACGAGATTCATCCAGCGCGTCGGTTGTCAAAGAATGCTGATTGGATTGTGTAGCAGGATACGACGTGATCATGGCGTCTGCCGCCGTACTCCGAAGATCTGTGAATGACCTTGAAGAGCCTAACTTACGTAAAGGAGGAGTGAGACTGGTGCAGTCCAGCGATGGGCGTGGCTGGTTGAGCTTAGAAGAATCCAACGATGCTCGGGGTTTGGGGTGGTGCGTATCGTACGAAGATACAGTATCGGTGCCCCTGTTCCTACTTCTCCGCGCCGGCCAGACGTATTCCATGATTCGTTGACCAAGACTGGCGTCTAGCTGAAGTCTGATTGGATGGAAATCAAGCTGGAATTTTTCATAGATGGTAATCCCCCCTACAGGGGCAAGCACTGCCCAATCAGCATCAAGAAATACTCCTCTCTGAAATGTGTTGTGTCAAAGAGAGAGGCTGGTGAGGTCAGAGGGCGCACCTTGCACATGGGGTGATTAGATGGGTCCTCAAATTTGGACACAATCTCAGCCCAAGGAGCATGAGGAGAACCGTCAAATGCCTGAAGGTCTCCCACCACAAGATTTGTCATCGTCGAACTGTCTTGTTTACTGAGCCAAGAGAAATCGATGTCGCGGACTGCGAGCTTTGCAAGAAGTTCTTGATGATCATCTAGCATTTGCCACGAAATTTCCGAGGAAGAAGCAAGAAGCAGAAGCGCTGACTTCTGGTCTGAGCGCTCATCGGCTCGATCCTGGGCTAACTTGATGGCGTCGAATATCAGATTAAGTTCCTCAGTCAGAAGGAAGATATGGGCCTTGAGCTTGATTATTTCTAGCCTGGTCTCCGAGACGGCCGATAACGCATGATTTTCAGCATCCCTCCGCGTCTCGAGGACGTTTCTAAGGCGACTTTGTAAATCCGAGACAACATTTGCCGCAGATGTGAAATCTGTAAAGTCGTAAGCAAAGAGTAAAGCCTCAATCTTCTCCAACCGAGTTTTATGAGCGGCATCGGAGAAAAGTATGAGGTTTGTGATAATGTTAGATATGGATTGGAAATGACGGTCGCTGGCAGAAACAGAGAACCGAGGGATATGGACTTGGATCAGATCCTGCCAGTTTGTCAATAAAATGCAGAAAAGTCATACAGGTTAGTCTCACTGTCTCATTCTGTAAATGAGCATATTTGCCTCGACGGTGCTCATTGTCCGGCACAGACCGAGTGACTGATGTTACATTGTTACGTAGACGAAGGCGATTAAACCGATCGTACTGGCACGTAGCATTTGTCTGGGGGACTATTCGGTCGAAGGCGTCACTTTCACAACGGTAGTCGATGAGAACTTCCAGTGGCACACATCCATCGCCACAAGATTCCAAGTCTACAGGACAGAATGTCTGGAGACCGTCCAAAGACATGTAACTCCTGTCAAGAAGTGAGGCTTCTGATATAACTAACTCAAAGTTCGAACATTACCTAGTCATGATGGTACCGCTGACCGGATCCTCCAGGTTAGACTTGTCCATAATCGTGAACGATTGCAGCTTAGCCTGAACAGCAGCCAAGACAGAAACGGAATCACTAGTTCCTTCACTGCGCAAAACGATCTGAGGCTTTAGAAGCAGGCAGAAATGGCGTTTTTGTAATGCCACTCCTTCATCCCAGCCGACCAGAGGATTGACGGCACCATCTCCATCTGGGACGTCATCGTCATCGTCCACCTCGATCGAGACGCCATTACGATCCCGACTCAAGATTCTTTTCAGAACAGTTGCAGCAGTCTGAGCTGTATTCACGGGGCCCTTGAGCTTCTGACGATCGGTCGGGGGCCCAGTTGACAAGACAGTTTCAGCCTGGTCCCTGATGAACTTGACAGCACTAGAAGCCGTAAACGATCAAGGGGAAGTTAAGAGTGTATGTCAACGATTCACGAACCGCGTTGCCATGTGATACTCAAATCCCTGTCGCGCCTTTGAACAGTTATAGTACTGTAGCATGACCTGTAGATTGTAATGAGTGGCAAGATCGGAGAAGCATACCAAGAATGCCGGACATCACGGATAGAATCGTTCATGAAAACCTTGGGAGCATGAAATTGGTAGACGTTCTCAAACTCTGCCCATTCGTCAGCCTCGACAGTCTCAGAAGGCATGTAGTAGTTTTCAATGTTGCTGCTCCGAGAACCCGTGTGAGGAATTTCGGTCATTCGTAAATGATTCGCGTAGTCTTGTAACAAGGCTGTCATCCTGTGCAGAGAAGTTGAAGTCTGATGTTTTACTCAGTACATTATTGCTTCACAGATAAAGATTTGGATATACCCCTTCGTTGGCGTGAGGGCTAAGGGTGGCAAGGTCCCGGAGTTGCGCGATTCGATGATTCGCGAGGTCAACTTCAATCTGCGGAACAGCTACATTCGGGTTATCAGACACAAGAGGCGAGTAAGCAAAGCACTTCAAATAGCTTACAAGGCTCGCTTCCAAGGAGACACGTGTGTGTATCCTCTACACCAAATTTGCTACCCTCCATAGCTCCAGAAGTGGCATTTTTCTTGAAATAAGTCAATCTGGAACAAAGCAACAATGGAAGGAGCTGTATATCTGGTTCAAGTTTGAAAGACCAATCCGTTTCCACGAAATCGTCGGCATCAATCCAGTCCGAGGGAGTGATTCTTGGTAGCGGCTTTGTGGAGTTGTTGGTGTCCCGATCACCTTCGAACGACAGAGGAATGGCTTGCTTCAGAGGCTCAGAAAAGGTGGCCAGCATGGCGCGAAGGTCCATATCTTTCATGACCACCTCCGCCGCATAGAAAGGCTTATGTCGCACAACCTTGATGCTGTCCTGACCGTCGCCTGGAGCAATAGATTCTTGGTCCCTCTGGTGCATATCTGCTTGAAAATGGCCAACGTTAGCCTTGGTGCCCACAAACGAAGTGATTCCAGAAATCCAGGAGTCTCTCGTGTCATCAATGTAAACGTGAGATATGAATAAGCGAGGCACCACTATTCGGTACTTCACAGTCGCAAGGTGACGAGCAAACTTGGGGGACACTGTTTTGGAGGGATAATACGAGCCCTGTCTGACTGGCAAGGACAAATTGCCGTCAAAGAGTGCCCACCAGGACCAGAAATGAGCAAATGCGTGTGGTGTTAAATGGAAACTACTCGGGCTGGATAGATCGGTGCAGGTATGCGAATGCAGAGAAGATGTTAAAGACACGGAAAGGTGGATGAAGTCGGATCGGAAGCCCTTATAGGAGTCATGAAGTGTCTGAAGAAACGATCAGCGGAAGAAAGGCAATCGAAAGAACGGCCTAACCTGGGGGTGTTTGTCCGTTTTCGTAGTCGTAAGCTGCACTTCATGATGAGGCCGGAAGGTGAAAAAACGGCAATGGCGGTCGAAAGAGGAACCGAGGCAGCAAGATGTACAATCTTCAGTGCTGCAAGACCGCTCTAGTATGACACCAACTCCAAAACGTACACCGGAGCCGAGTTTGGCACAGGTCTTGAGGCAACCAGGCGCGGTGCTGTGCGCTTCACTGGCGTCCAGCTTGTTTTGAGTGACGTCCCACTCACAATGGAACCTACTCTTGGTTTTCAGTCTCTCTGGTAATGTGAATTGAGACGACATTACTTTGGAATGATGATAGACATGGTATCACTTGACACCTGAATAAGTTCATTGACGTCGTTCGGAAATCCAATGAGTAATTTGGGATTGCCTTTCCAGCAGAGTCCGAAGCCAGCACCTTCATCGTGAAGGGTGTATGGATCACGTGTACCTGGTGCAGGGACATAAATTAAAACATATGATACACGACGGCACCTCAAGCCGCACCTTTCATGTAGAGTCTGACCTCGTTAACGAATGACACTTCGATAGTCCAGTGAAAAATGAGCCTCAGCTAAAAACACAATCAGATCCATAAACAGCAGCGAGGACAAATATGGGACGTGCCTTGTCCCAAAACCCAATGCTGGGAGATGGATCACGCGTTTCTGATGTTAAGCTCTCCAAGATCCGAACGAGATCTTGAGTAGTTGCGCTGTAGCTTGCGCCCCAACCAAAGGTTGTTACCCCATTCGTCATAACTTTGACAGTGGGATTAGCGTATGTCTTGACGGGCATAATGGTTTTGGGAATTTCAATAATGAGAGGGCTACTCGGAACAAAACCACCTTGAGCCCCACCGATGGTACAGGGAATCCACTCGACAGATTGTGATGGTCCCATGTCCTCGGCAACGACCAAGTCAGAAATGAACCTCAGGACAGGCAGGTCTTTGCCTTCAGAATGAAACGGGATATGCAGGAGTGGTAACGGATAGTCTCGAAGCGTGACTTGAAGATATCTCAAGGAGACATCGAGATGCATGGGAATAAGGAGCGTATAGAACGTGTCCTTAGGGACGCCCTGGCCTTGAACATATAAGAAGTCAGGTAGTTGCTCCGTTGGAAATGATGGCTGGGAGAGCTGTAACTGAAATCCATAGATGACGGCGCGGAATAGGGGTGGTGTACGATGGCTACCGGTGACGTTCACGAGATTTGGAACACTGGTCGGGCGCTTCAATGGATTTGCTCCTCGGAAATCTCGGTGGAAGTCGTCTTCTTTGGCCGCCCGTTTTTGCCTCCGTTGTTTATGTCGCAGAAGCCAATCAAGAGAATGAAGCATGTGTAGTCTTTCCCGGGCCTCACGAACAGAAATAGAATGACCCGCATCAAACTGGTAGTCTGAGCTGAATGCAGTGTTATGTGACGGTGAAGCGTCAGCTCCTTCTGCAGCCAATATTGCAACGACTTTTGCGTCAAACGCGTCTTCCCGCTGAATGCGCTCTTTAGCAGCGTCGAGGCCGGTTCTCCAAAGCAACCCCAGCTGAGATTCGAAAGGGTCATCTGCTGCCTCCAAGCATATGGCACGGATGGACACCGAGATATTCGGTAAAACCTTCGGACCTTCAGCCTCTGGGGGAGGGAAAGGAAAGTATGTGCCTATGGCAACCATACGATGTATGTGACGCGAAGCCTTAGTTGTCAGGGTAATGGCAAGGAGCAAGTCCGCGAATACATATCCTGAAGGGACTGCGAAGCGGATACTGTCCCCTTCAATCAGGATAGCATCGTCAGGTTTACCTCCATAACTAACTGTGCACCTATGCAAACGCCCAAGCTCCTCCCATCTACCTTCCTCTATCTCCCTCCACCGATGCGGCTTTGCAGGCATCGGAACCCAGAACACGAATGAATTGAAGGAGCACTCGATATTCCCGGAGCTGACGGTCGCCTCCAGGTAGTTGATCCGCGTGACAGGCTGCTGCCCTGGTAAATTCCATCGGACCTGCAGTGCCTTGACCATCCCCCGGAAGCTCAAGCTCAGGGCGCGTGAGCCACTGGACATTTTTGCAGGTCGGAACTTGGGTATTATGTTCCGCAATACTTGAAGTGCAAGGAGGGAGGCAGTGACATGGCACAAGTCAAAGGAAACCCGGACTTCATCGACGGTTGCAGATATGGCGTGTGCACTGCACTGCAAAATTCCTGAGTTTTGTAACCTGATCCCTCGGGAAGTGACGTCGACCTCCGTTCTGCACAAGAACACGAACTGTTTTCCCGTGAATGCGTGATCGTCTTTCTCAAAGATATACGGGTCGTCCATCGAATACGTGTCAGCAGCAGCTGAACGCAGAGACGTCTTCCACAGAACCAATTTCCCATAAGCAGCACTTTCAGTGGACGCCGCAGAAGCCCTTGCAGAGACTAATGCTTCTGCGAGGTGGTCTGCAGGAAGATATAGCTTATGTCTGTTCTGCGCACGTGCCCTCGCATGCTCTACAGACTGAACTTGATCTGGATGCACGGAACAGTACCGCATTGCTATGCCTGTGCTAAACGCAACACCGCGTGTGACATCGCTTTCTGCGTTGGGATTGATATCTTGACCTGTGATGAAAAGGACCAGCCGAGCGACAGATAGAGATACGGCGTAACCAAGAGGTAGTATAAGGGGCTTATCAGATGGTGTAGGCGTACTTTCTTTCACCAGGAGTATAGGAATAACGGCAATTACAGCAGCCACAGACTGCGGATGCCACAATTCCAATATGATCCCTTCTGTATAGCAGTGTAGGTCGAGGAAAAGGGACTTGGTGCACAGCAAATTGAATGCGGTTTGTCCATCATCGATAAACTCCCCTACAGCAGTTAATTCTCCCCTGGCTTCAATTGCTTCGAGGGAGAGCAAGCTGTCAAACCCTTCCGAATTCGGATTATGTATGGAAAACCGTCTTGACGCTCTCCGCGGAAGAGAAGCTGTGTTCATATTCAAGAAGACAGGTTCCATATGAAAGTCCCACTGCAGTACCATGTGCAACCCAGTCTGATCAGAGAACGCATGACCAGAGAACGCATGACCAGAATTGTATGTGATGGACGGCTTCACGCGGAACGTCGATATGAAATGGGCGTTAAGACCTTTGGACTCCAAGACTAGGGAAAATGGCGTCTGAGAGCCCGTTGCATCCGCACAGATCAGACGTGCAGAAAGGCGGCCAACTTCAATATTAGCGATAATTCGAGGGATAGGTGATAAGGTCTCAGGGAGTGCGAGGGACGCGCGGGGAGGAGATGATCTTGTTTGGCTGCTTAATAGTTGATGTATCACATCCAAGCGGTCCGTAACAGCAAATTCAGCGAGTGAGAGATCCATCATCAACAAAAGCCGATTTGGATCACCCGGTGGAATATGTTGCAATGACGAAGGCCATTCCGATGTCGTGAAGGATGCATCTAGGGTACCGACAAGAAGCACCTGGAGGCTACTAGTGAAGACATTACTGAGCCTACTGAGAGCACTTTCCCGGATTTTGAGTCGCAAAATGTAAACGGAAAAAGTGGGCTGATGGTAAGATCCGAGCCAAGTGCGATGCGAAGAGTTGTGATCAGGGTCGCTTGGACTGCAAACGCAAGATACGTCCTGCACAGAAGCCTTGTAAACGTCTCCTCCGAATGTTTTGGTGATGCTGATTGAACATATGTCCACTTGAATTTTGGATAACAAGGACAATGACTATGTTGCGTAGTGGGATGATGAACCTTTATCTCTCGTCAAAATTTATATTCGCTCACCGTGTGAGACCTTCTCTGGCAAGAACGAGCGGGCGGCGATGAAAAGTGGGGACGATTAAAGGACTGAAATAAGGCATTAAAATATTGAGCATCGACGCAGCCAGAGACACGCACTGCAGAACTGCTTTCACTCGAAAGTATAGGACTTTGAAACGAAACTGGCGATGACAGTATAGGTGAAGCAGAAGATTCCGTGTTTTTGGTTTTCAGGTTGTCAATCATCGCAAGGATGGATTGCCAGCAGTCGATCGAGACATGGACATTCGGAGCGCGCAAAGAAACCTCGACACTGCCCGCTTCTATCTTCCCGTCTTTTGGACTGAATCGAGCAGCCCCGCTGAGAGTTACTGTCTTAGACAGATATATAATTGGTTCGCTGCCTGGATGACCTGATAATGAGAGCATCAATATCATCCATTGATTCTAACCATGAACACTCACTATGAATAGGGGTGTCACCAATAACTTTATTGACCATCAAATCGAATGTTAAAGAAGCCTTTGTTTGGCCCAGTGTGCTATCCCAAGCACGTCGCCACGTACGCTTGAAACCCATCGCAAGCCGAGACTTCCATGCTCCCATGGCCAACGCTGCAGCAGACGGTCTGTGGTCCCCTTGACCATTGATTTTGTCGGAATGAGGAACTGGGACCTGAAGATGGCTGAACGTAAGATGCGCATCTAATTCTGCTCCTTCAACGACGAGTTGGGTATCTGGGATAGCTGTGTGTGTGATGACAGCCGATTCGATTTCCAGGCGAAGGGCTTGAGTTAGAGTAGGGATGCGATGAATCACCTGATTCAAAATAGACGTGACAGAAATGCGGATGATGGGGCGGATGATCGGGTCGAACACCCAATATACGGTTGACATGATGGACCATAGATGCAAAGCCAGAGGGGAGGGCGACAAGTCCACCAGAGTGATTCTACGCCTATGCTTAGTCCGAGCGGGCAGCTCGCGTGATAGCTGCTCGATCTCAATTCTGAGACCCTGAATCTTGAGTAGGATTCCTCTAGGCTTGCCTTCCCCAGACGAACGGTAGGTATACCCAATGCGTTCAATATGCCACGTACGATTTCCCCGACGGAAGTATAGACCACGAATCGAGCGAAGACTGATGCTTCGCACACGTAGATGATTGGAAAAACGCATGACAACATAAGGAGCGATATACGCCCTCGAAACAAACAGGAAAACGACCACTGCCGCGAGGGAAGACACAAGCGTGAACCATGACCACAAGCTAGTCAGGCCAAACTCATAGAACCAGAGCGCGAGACAGCTCATCCCAAAAACAGCACTAAGGCGATGCCGCAGAAATATTCGAGTCATTGATACGCTGTGTGGGTAGGGCGCTTGTGATAGAGTAGAGAGCCGGGAGCGGCAGCCAGGAATGAAACGTTGGAAGGAATGTTGGAAAGGAGAGGAAGAGTCAACGACAACGATTATGTACTAGCAGTGCAATAGCAGAATGTTGTGAACGCGTGAACCTCGAGTTGATGGTGTAGTCCTGGTCGTCCAGCTGCAGATGCCTTTCCCGAGTCAAAACGCGTATTAATTGCGTAAGTCAAGAAACAGCATGGCAATGAAACGGCGCACAGCCACAATCATCGTTTATGCAACATGTCACTCAAGAATTTATGCAAACTGAGAGCGCTGATAGTACAGATTCATGAAGGCCTACTTGCATAAAGAAAGCAATGAAAAGAGTAATGGAAATGTTGCAGTATGGCATATCATATATCTGATGTCGTCAACCCACCCAGCTCCATGATCCTAGCGTCCTCCACAATTAGAACACCATCTGATGAGGGAACTGGCCCTTCGACAGGCCGAAGGTGGCTTTAAGGTATTTTGCAAGGTTCTCCTGCTTCTGCACGGCAGCAATGACAGTCTTGTCGACCTCCTTCTGGTCGGCGGACTTGGCTTCTGGGAAGGCCTCCTTTGCTTTCGGCTTGCCCTCCTCGAAGAACTCAGCCTCTGCAGAGCTTGATTTGGTTGCAGGCTTTGCAAAGTAAGCATCGTTGATCTTGGCATCGACCTGATACATGTACTAAGTTTGGCAATAATTCAGACTTGCTCTGATGCCACCCACGTACCTTGAATTCACCAAGATCAACCTTGGTGGATGTGGCAATAACATATGCTTGGTTCACCCGTCTGAGGGGAACGCCGTTGATCTTGTAAGGTCCAGTCACTAACAACAACCCGCTCTCAAGCTGCTTCAAGAAAACCACCCTCTTCCCTCTGAAACGACCAGCGAGCAAGATTAAGACGGTACCAGGGACGATTGTGGAGCGAAGTTTGGCGGGCTTTGGTGACTTTCGGCTCTTCTTTGGTTGACGCACATCTTCTGCAGGGTAGAATCGGGGTGCTTTGGAGGTGGGTACGAGACGCGTGCCGCTGTTTTTATCGCCGCCCACTGTCACTTCCTTGAAGGCGGGAGTTTCTGTGGGTGCGGGTTTGTCGGATTTTTTGAGACCCTTGTAAAGACCACGGCGTGAAGCAGCCTGTGAGCGCGAGAAGCGCCCAACGCCGGGTGCGAGTTGTCTGCTACGGGCCATCTAGAATGATTTCAGTCAGTTACTGCCTAAGAGTCATCCACAAGGCGGGATAGCCATCCAACTCTGATCTCCACCAAAATCGACGATCAATGGGACAGATATGTCCCAAGACCTTACAGCATTCTCCCTGAGGTCATAAAATGCAAAGATTCGTGCTCACAGTGTCAGTCTTGAGGATACTGTCTGTTGAGGGGTCCGTGTCTATCAATATTACCAGTACACAGACGAGTGGTATCGGAGTTCACAGCGTGAGAATAGAATTCCAAATAAGTCGTGTAGGTCACCAAAGTTGGAGATAGCGGTCTATAATATAGTTTTGCCAGTTTAACCAGCAGTTGTGCCCGGTCCTTGGCACAACTCCAGACTCACGGAGATGTAACTTGGAATCTATATGACAACATATAGTTTGGATTCGATGGATCATAAAAACCAATATCCCTAAAGCAAGACGGCACATGCTGGAGGAGGCCCCCTTGCGTCACAATTTCGAGCGCCTGGAACTTTGAGTAAAGAACAAAATAACCTAGCAAATGCATGCAAGCTCCTCCGGTGTACATGTCATCCCCAGTCAAATCTAATTGAAACTAGCTTTTTCATTCATGCCAATATTTCCTTCCGTGTTGGTAACGATGTGTTTTTCCACGTGGTGAGTCCGTCAATGATGCAGATGACCTCCTTGATGGTCGAGAGAGTATCTTGCTTGATAACGTTGCTGCCGAATTTGCGTCTCTCGAAGAGTTGAAGAAGTTCAGAACATTAATAACGAAGTTGAAGTGCTGGAGGGAAATGCTTTTGATTTCAACGAGTTAGATCGGCTCGAACGAGGGATAATACAACAGGCTATTCTAGATGAGGTTGAGGTAGTTGATTAATACAATAGCGAGGATGATGAGGCGACATTTGAATGATGTCTTCATTAGGAATGTCCAATACACCTAGTAGTAGTACATACTTATAATAATAATAGCCTAGAGTTCTGCCGGCTATAACCGGATATGTAGTTTTGGCCCCTACATTAACGCTTGGAAATAGCGGTCTTTGCCACGTCAGCCGGCCCCAGATTGATTCATACCACAATCTTCATACCCTCACTGACGATGTCTCCGGATGGCACATGTAAAGAGGGTCGGTTTTTTTCCGCATTGCATCGTGCACTCTGACTCGTGTCAAAGATCCTAGATCGATCGTTTGGTTTGACATCGACAATACACTATATTCCGCCAGCACCAAGATTTCCCAAGCCATGGGTCAGCGCATCCACGGTTCGTCAGTGTTGAACTCTTTCAAATACTCTGAATGATAAACATGGAAAGAGCAGCATACTTTGTCACTCTTGGGCTCGATGAGGACGAAGCCTCCGAGTTGCATCACTCATACTACACTCAGTACGGACTTGCACTTCGCGGTCTAACACGTCATCATAACATAGGTATAACCTACGCTGTGACCGCCAGCTGCCGAATAAACATATGGCTCTAGATCCCATGGATTTCGATCGGAAATGTGATGGAACACTTCCTCTCGATGACCTCATTAAACCAGACCCGAGGCTACGAAAGCTCTTTCAAGATTTGGACAGAACCAAGGTGCGTGTATGGGCGTTGACGAATGCATACAAAATCGTAAGCGCCGATTCGCATACTCGTGAATATATGACGCAGAATGACCGACCCTTCAGCACGCACAACGAGTGCTCAAGATATTAGACCTAGAAGACCAGATCGAGGGCCTTGTTTACTGTGATTACCAGCAAATCGGCTTTACTTGCAAACCGGAACCAGATTATTATCACAATGTCAGTTCTCCATACATGTTTAATTATGGATGTCGACTCAGTCTTGCACAGGCCATGAAACAAGCGAAAATTTCAGACCCATCTAAATGTTACTTTGTCGACGATAGTCAGCTCAATGTCAGAAGCGCTAAAACACTTGGCTGGGGTCATTGCGTACACTTTTGCGAGGTCGGTTTGGAAATTATGGATGGCGGAAAGACGAAGAAACTTGTTCTGGACACCAATACTAATGACCCCGAGAGCATCAGGCAGATCAGTGATTTAGAAGAACTCAGGACTCTCTGGCCCGAGATCTTTATATAACAAACTTCTACACGAAACAATCTAGAGTGTTTGCCGCGCGACAGTCACGTTTTCGCAAATCGGCAAGGACTGGTATGTTGCCATTCCCCGGATGACGTCCAGTTTGACGTCGAAAGATAAGACAGAAGGAAATCGGGGATCGATCAATCATCAAGGACATCTCCAACTTGTGGACCTTGAACACCTCGGCGTCGATCGAGCAGCGTCTGCATATCTGATATCAATGCGATGTAATTTTACTGGCTGTAGCACGAGCTACAAGCTTCAAGGCTCCATCACTTTCCCGATAGGATGCATCAAAAGGGCCAGATAAACACGATTAGAACTGTCATTTCTGGGAGGCATCAAAATGCTTCTCTGCTCGCAGCAGTCTCTGATGACAATCTCGAAGGTCCCAGGACACGAATCGATGTCACTCGATGAGATTGATACCGAGTTTGCTTGACTGGAAGATATTTGCAACAGGGATAAAATGATGAACACGGTGTTTGCTTCGGACTGGGATGCGGATGGAAATTAAGTCTTGAAAGGGAGAGCATTTGACTTGCGGGTCTGCAGCATGATGGGATTATCATGGTCGTGGGCCGCCGTGATGCCAACGATGATGAGATTTGGAATGACCTGATGCTTACTGGTATTTAGTCCAGTAGTTCTACATCCACTTCTAGTACCATCAATATAAAATTTGCGCTTGCTGGACATTTCTGCCAGCAAAACTACTTCCACCCACAACACCAGCTGGTGTTGACAGCTACTTGTTACATAAATACACAGTTTGGGTATTAAATATTGAATTTCGGCTAATGTATGGAGCTGGGGATTAACAGAAATTCGAATTCATCTGTATTGGCTAAGGTAGGAGGCCTGAGGATTAATAGGAATTTGTCTGTACAACCTTCCGGGAAGTTGCCCACTACTAGTATGTGTATAAAAGCAATGTGGTAACTATGATTTCGACAAAGAACATCATTTATCCTCGTCCAACAATGAAATCCACATCACTCACCACTACAGCGACCATGTCTGCCGTAATACTGTCGGGCATAGTGACAGTACAAGGCTTAAGCCCCAACGGAATGCCATGCGCCCATAGTGGTGAATACCTTCAGCCTAACATGTTTTGAGCTTAGACCGCGTACTTAGTATGGATACTTACAGGAAAGTACGAGTGCGGAACACTCGCGGGTTATAACAACGGCAATCTATTTTTGTTTTACTGTTCGCCGGTATCCCACGAAGTGGAGGGCGCTCTGGATTGCAGCTGTGCGACGAGTCAGTGTTGTTCCATCTCGAATGGAGGTGATAGCGGCCTGTGCCTAACTGATTAAGTGAGCGCTTGAGCCCGCTTCCTGCTTGCCATGTCATAGTGATGTTACAGCGTGCCAAGGCAGGCGAAGTGTTCAATTTCAAATTGAAAGGCAGCGTGGTATCGGACTGGATGACGAGGTCCGAGTCCATATGGTCGCGGATTATGATGCAAACGATGATGGGAATTGGAATGACCTGATACTACGGTCCATGTAGACACTTCTAGTACCAAGTGCTGTGTATAAAAGCAATGTGGTAACAATGATTTCGATAACAAAGAACATCATCTATCCTCGTCCAACAATGAAATTCACATCACTCACCACTACAGCGATCAAGTCTGCCGTAATACTGTCGGGCAT